TGAAGCATTCGGTATTGACCACACCCATTGGCCCACCCACCTGTAATGAGTGACTGAGGACAGTACTGACTTCAATTGATCCGATCCATTCAGAAGAGCCAATGAATGGTTTCTATAATAATAATAAATAATTTTAATTTATGTGATAAAAATTTATGTGATATGTGCAATGCAATAAAAATGGGGATGATTTCGGAGCCAATTTAAAAAAAACCATGGGCTATAGTACAGGGTACTTTTCAGATTTTGGCCAATTTTTTAAAATAGCCATAACTTGAAAATTTGAAGTCGGAATCAGCTCAAACTTTCTACACAGCATAAGGACATCAATATGTATCAGAAAATGTAATAAAAATTGGGTGTGATTTCGGAGCCATTTTTTGAAAAAAACCATGGGCTATAGTACAGGGTATTTTTCAGAATAATGGTTTTTTATAATATTACTTCATAAACTTCCATCCCACCCCACCCTCTCTCTCTCTCCCTCACCTCTTTATCTCCACAATCAACCAGTGTCTGCTGTATCTCCCTGTGGGTAGGAACAGGTGCATCAGTGTAGCCTTGACAACGAAACCAAGACCATATTGTCTGGAGGGATCTATAAGCACAGCCCCAACCCTTAAGAATGAGGGATAGAAACAAAGAGATATAGAGGAGGAGAGTTCATACCTTGTCATTAAACTTTTCTTGCATGTAATGATAATAAAGATAGCTACCATTCACCAAAGCTAATCCGTCGCCACCTAATGTTATTAATAATAAATAAATAACATTAATTTAGAACCTTCTGTCAAATTTAATGACACGTGTGGATCAAACAGGCGTGCCTCCTGCTTCCAAGGTGACCATTGTCTGTTAGTCTTTCGTAGAAACGGTCGATTAGTTGGAAGGCAAAAGGTTTGATGGAGTTTAGTTCGAAGGGAGAGAAGAGAAGAGTCTGGAAGAGGAGAAGGAATGACCCTGATATCAGTAGAGAGAGGGAGGTCAGGGTATGGGATAGTGATGGGAACATGTTGATTGGGTAAGTTAAAATGAAAGAAAAAAACTGAATGAATGTCTTGATCATTAGTAGCTTTATCAACCTAAAAAGTAATAATATATAAATTATAAAGAGAGGAGAGAGTTCTTACCATGATGGTTTGTGCTATTAATTTTATTTGTTCCTGTAGTCTGTTTCTCAGTTGCTTAGCAACCAGACGAGTGTCGATATCATTGCAGAATAAACCAATCAAATCAAAGGTCACTGGTAGGACTAAAGTGGGTGTGGTCATTGGTGTCATGGTAACAGTGAGAGGGTACAGACCAGACGAAGATGGACTCTTCTGAAGTAGTTCAACAACAACTGGTGGCTGCAAAATAAAAATGTGACCATAATTGACAAAAGGTACCTTATGGCGGGTAGTGAAATTTGTCTTTCTAGCCCAAGAAATCCAACTTCCTGAGCCCCATTCATCATAAAATTACTCCACAGGATGCAAAAAGTTACCATGAAACTTTTAGAAACAATGATTGTCTAACAAAGCACTCACAGGTTGATATTTTCCATTATAACAATCATTTTTAAAATCCGCCATAAGGGCCCTTTTGTCAATTATGGTCACAAATGGTAAATAAACTATTGTAAAAATAGAATTCGATCATCATAGTACTCATCATGTAGTCACAGAGCTTATTTTTAATCATATAACTTTTACAATCTAATTTCAAACTGTGGCTACAACAAATAAAAATAATATAAAAAAAGGAAAAAAAAACATCGATAAGTCTGCAATGTATAATTGTGCAATCATCAAGAAAAATGATTAAAATCGATCTCTGACAACAAATCCCATCCCATGTGCTCCAGGCCATCTTTTTGCAGATCAAAATCACCATCTCTTGGCTCTTCTCTAAGGCCACTTTGCCCATTTTGCTGCCAATTAAAATCATCTTTTACTGGCATTTCTTGCCTCATGGTACTTGTTGTAAATGGTGCTTGTCCCTCCTGCCCAGGGACATTTTCAGCATTGCTTGAATCTTTTTCACTATCACTGGTGATAGGGAAAATATTTCGTATAAGGAGGTGTAAGTCGACAAATAAACGTTGAAACCTAATACATTTTAAGAAAGGTTTTGCCTCTGTCCTACATCGAAGTATGCTTTGATCCCAAAGAGTAACAAGCCAGTCATCAACAGTTGGTAACTGTCGCTGCTTCATGGTTCCTGCCAATACAAATGGAATTTCACTAACTAATCCCCAATCTTTCCCAGTGTGCTCTTGAAAGACTTTTTTAAATTCTTGCATTTTTCTTTCAACTTCAAATTTTATACCCTCTTTATTAACAGAGTCCTGATATTCATGGTTCAGTTGAAGGACAAAAAAATTAGCAAAAGTGAGTACCACAATTGTCCTCTTCCACATTTCTGGTTCCATTAGTCGACCAAGAAATGACAGCATCTTCTTTGCATTGTCAGCATCAAGGCGATTATCCATCTTTATCGCTATAAGGATAAGGTCATATCCTCTTCTTGGTGTGTTCTCAGCAATGTTCTTCAATATTTTCTTTTCTGAAATACCTGCTTCACCAAAGCCAGCAGTGTCGTATATCTTGATTCTTATGCCCTCACGTTCTCCTTCATGGCACACAACCTGTGTCTGACAAGCCCTTGCTCCAGCCTTAGATATTGCAACAATATCTCCCATCATTGCATTGACAAGACTCGATTTTCCTACACCCATCAGTCCTATAATAAGGATTTTCACACTGTCTGTCCTTTTTTTGAGCCGCTCTGACTTTATTTTAACTTCATTTTTATCTACACCGTGTGTAGCTTCAGCTTCATCTGTAATAGCATTATCTTCTCCTGTAATATTCTCATTTGGCGAGGGAAAGTGTTCAACAGAGCCCACGAATGATGATTTTTCTGCTTCTGCCATATTAAAGTACAAGAACTATGCTGGCTATAATAATTATGCCCATAGTAACTATCTTAATTTTGATATTCTTACTACAACTCTAAATACATTTACAACTCAACTACTACTTGTAAAAATACTGAAGAAAAATGTGCAATAGCAATAACAACTGTAATGATAAACTTTGCCATATGATCAAAGTACATGTAGCTGTAGGTCTATCAGTTTGTTATTTACAGAAACTTACAAACAAATAGCATATAATAATAGTCTACATAAATAGTCTGAAATACCTTGTGAAGTAATATTTTCAGCAGATTTGACAAAGCCTGTATTGTTTTTGCTTTTGCCATAGTGAGAAAGTATGGTTTGTGTGGTTTGACAATAGCAAGATTATCTTATCTTTTTTACTACACAACTCTCCTACACATATGTGATGATTAATATCTTATTCTCCTCATCAGTTCATCTTCCATGTACTTTATGTTTTAGTGACATGTAAGAAAAGGTAAACTTAGCAGAGTCAAACCCTAATTAAAATGAAAAGATGAAATCAATAAAGTGGTCCAGCCAGCACTTAGATGACTTAGTTATAAAATATGATTGCAACATAATAACATCAGCTGCTTACGAGCCATACAAGAATCAATATCATTTTAGAGCAGACCAATCATAGGTCACTGGTAAGAATGATCAGTGGTGAAAGGGTACAAGGTATTAAATATAATTTAGAAAACACACAAAAGCAGCTAGTTTAAAAAAAAAATTCACAGATACAAATAGGCAATGTGAAAATTATAGTCAACATAATAATGTTCAGTCAAAATTTAATAATGCTATGCAACCAATTTTAGATCAACATGCTCCAGACCATCTTGCAAATTACAACCATCATTAATTTGGTTATTTCATATTGCTTGACAAATGTATACTTAAGCTATCTTGTCATTATTCTACTAATTTTGCCAAAAAATAACTACAAAAAAAAGTTAAAACTATCTAAAAAAAATGTTGTCAAACAAAAATTATTAAAGCTTAATAAAAGTTTCAGTTAATGTTCAGGTAATAATTCAGCATTCACCTCTTGAACTAAATCCATCTCAACATGCTGTAGGCTACCATCATCAGGGCTGCCACCTTCCTCCTCACTGCTACTAGACTCTTCTTCTTCACCTTCAGAATCACTACCTCCTTCTAAAGTGGCATGAAATTCCTCAGGCCCATTGATGTTGGTACTTTCTTCATAACCGGTAAAGAGGAATTTTATTTTGAGTCGCAATTGATTTATCAAACGAAAGATACCCAAACGCTTCAGAAAAGGTTTTGCCTTGGTCCTACATCGAAGTACGCTCTGCTCCCAAAGAGTAACAAGCCAGTCATCATCTGTTGGCAATTTTCGATCCTCTACTCCTCCTGCCAATACAAACGGGATATCAACCTCCTTTTTCATGTGCTGTTGAAAGCGCTCCTTGAATAACTTATTTTGCTCTTGTAATTCTTCCTTAATTTCATCTTCAGTATACTGCTTTGAAGGATTATTATTAAGCTGAGTAACAAATAAATTTGCAAAAGTAAGGACGATAATTGTTCTTTCCCACTTTCCTTGATCCATAAATTGCACAAGACGTGAAAGCATTTTAATGTTTGCATCAAAACGATTATCCATCCTCAAAGTAATGAGTATGAGATCATATCCTTTCTTTGGTGCCTTCTTAGAAATATTTTTTAATACTTTCTTTTCAGAAAGAGCTCCATCACCAAACCCAGGAGTATCATATATCTTGACTCTTATACCATCGTGCTCTCCTTTATGATACTGTGTTTCCGTTTGAACAGGGTTTGCCCCAGCCTGAGCTACTGTAACAATATCTCCCATCATTGAATTGACAAGACTTGATTTCCCTGTACCTGTCAGCCCCATGACAAGGATTTTTACATGGTGCTTCCTCCTTTTGAGCTTTGTTGCCTTCTTTCCAAATTTATCATCTAATGGCACCTCAGTAACATCTTCTTGAGAAGGAATTTCACTTGGTGAGGTGATATCTTCAAGGGAGTCTACAAGTCGTGTTGCCATATTGAGAAGAATGAGAAGAAGGAAGTACTGTGTGTTTAGACAGTATTTGGAGGAAGGTCAAATTATTAATAACCATGACCATAATAATCATTAATTTATACTAACAATAGGATTCTATGAGTAATCAACTATTCAACACTATTCTTCACTACATAACAATACACCTCTTCTAAGTTAAATCTTTTGCTTCTCAATTAAAAATTTTAGCCCATTTAGGGCTTGAGCAATAATAATTAAGTTAAAAGATTAAAATTATACGTACATATGTATTATAAAAAATTGTCATTTCTCAAAATCGTAAACTGATATCCATCAATTGTGCAAAATCCTCCTTAATTAAATGTATCACTATGAATGGCTTACTTTGTCCAGTCCAGTTGGTGTGAATACAATATGCTTCTCTTTTTCATCCTCTAGCAATACTTGTTGTCCTGGCAACCAAAGGACACACCTACTAATGAACTGCTGCAACCGATCGACAATGACACTCTCTAAAATAAAATTAATTTTAATTATTTATCAAGATACGTGTACCTGTTAAATCCTTATATGGTAAATAGCATTTAAATTGTGCCGTTAGGTGAAACATCACTCCATTATGATTAACATAATCCTTTACATTTTTATCAACAGACAATTGCACAAGCCCCTTCTTTTCTGATACCCTGTAACCTTTAACTATTTCATCACTATTAATGATCAATAGTATATTGTTCTCCTATAAAATCATGTGATAATCACGTGATCAACTGACACACCCACTTTATCAAAATTTTTAATAAGCTTTCTTTATTTCTTTGGCATCAGCAGTCCGTGGTATCCCAAGTATCTGATAATAGTCCTCTTTATGAAGAGGGGCTGGAAGAATAAAAAAAGATGGGTAAATTGAAAAAGAAAGAAAATTAAGTCTACTCTGGTAAATTGTAATTTACCATTAGAATGAATTCCTCTGTTGGAGTGTGTCTTCATATGATTAAAGTAGTGATTGCTGTATCTAGTGATACAGTAAGAAACTTCTGCTGATCTCAAAACAGAAGATAAGCGAGAGGAGCTCAGAGCAAGATGGCCACAAGAAGATGGAGAGAGTGAATGATGGAAATGGAATAGTCTAACGAATCTCTTCATTGTTGGATTCGATGAGAGTAACTAGTAGCGGATGAATATCTGAGTAAATAAATGTCTTTTTCTCTCATTACCTGTTGGTTTCTGGTAAAAATAAGGACAATATCTCGTCCACGTTTTTGCATGCTCCTCGTGAAAAGAAAGAAATAATTTCAATTTGACTAATTTAGTTATTTGATCATACCGCTCTATTAGATAATTTACGGCATATATAAATAAAGCATTAAAAGCAAAAAATGACAAAGTTTTTTGTATTTTATATTTCCTGAGGTCTGATGGGCATACACAAATTGTAGCTTGCCTAAAAAGGAAAAAGAGAATAGTAAATTGCAGATTGAAAGCAGCCACAAAAGTCTTACATTTTGATCCCAAAAATTCATCCCTTTCCAGCCACAACCCTAAAAGATCATATTGACATTACAATTGTACATTATCAAGCGACCATGTACTTTTCCATTTATCAAATTAATGTCCTCAGGGCCAGTGTAATGAGGATCAAGAATCAAAAACCTAAAAATTATTATAAAATTATTTTTAAGGTTATTTTTCCTACTTAATGTCACCAGACTGCTCGTCATAGTCAACTCCTAATATGGTATGAGCTAGAACCCCGCCCCCTATCATTACGGGTGTGCCCTGGTTTCTAAAATGATGCTGTAAAAGACGACCGGTACCAGCGATATCAGCTCCTCTTGAGCAGTGATGAATACGAGATTCTATCTGAATAATGAAGCATTTGGTATTGACCACACCCATTGGCCCACCCACCTGTAACGAGTGATTCAGGACAGTACTGACTTCAATTGAACCGATCCATTCAGAAGAGCCAATAAATGGCTTCTATAATAATAATAATAATAAATAATTTTTAAGTTAAATTTATGTGATACGTGCAATGCAATAAAAATTAGGGTGATTTCGGAGCCAATTTTTTGAAAAAACCATGGGCTATA